GGCAGCACGCGCGGGCGTGGGCAGCAGGCCAGCAGGGCAGCGCGCGGGGCAGCGCGCGGGGCATGACTTGCCAAGAAAGAAACCGAGTTTGGGAGAACTTTTTGAGCTGAATCTTCTCTAGATTATTCGTCCCTACTTGGAGTGCAAGTCAAGGCACAAGATCCCCTAGATATTTAGTTTTTTTTAATGCTTTATGATATCTAGATTGTTTAGGTTATTTAACAATTTATTGCTTTAATAAGTTTCCTAGGTAGATTAGAATTAGTCATAGTTAGGATCTATAAATAAGGATGATCCCTCATTGTTTTGAAAAGTCTTGGAATGAGTTGAATAGAAAAGAACGTTTGTTCGAAACCGTGTGTTAGGATTCGTGAGAGTTTGATCATGCAACCGAATTGGTGAGGCTAAGACCCAAGCCAGTTCAACCGAGTTAGCGAGGCTAAGACCCGAGCTAGTTCAAAAGAGGGAGAGAGGCTAAGACCCGAGTGAACTCAAGTATCGTGAGAGAGTTAGGCTAATAACCGAGTCGATCACACCTATCATCGAGAGCAATGTCGTGGCAAAGCCGTGATCGAGACAAGTCAAGGGAACGCAACACACGATCCCTCATCAGGCCGCCTCAACGCGTGGCACGAGCGCGCTCGTGCGCGAGCCCAGCCCGCGCCGACTCCCCCCTGCGCGTGCGCCCCATCTGATCTTGCCTACGCCTACCGCGTTTAGGCATCCCGCGCGCTGCCCCCGTGATGAAGATCGTGTATCCCGCTCAACTCGTATGTCTCGAACTAAGCTTTGCCAAGGCTTCTTTCTTGACGATAGGTGTGGACGACTCGGTTATTAGCCTAATATTCTCACGATAATTGAGATAGCTCGGGTCTTAGCCTTACTAATCTCGGTTTGTATGATAAAACTCTCACGAATCTTAAACACACGGTTTTGCTCTTGCGAACGATTTTCTATTAACTCTTCGACATGAAAAATAATAAGAGTACATGGATATTTATAGGAGAAACTAGATCTAGTCCAATGACAACTATAATTCTAACTAGGAAATAATATCTAGTCCTAAGGCAACTAAATTTCTTGCATATCAAGACTTACCAAAATATAAAATACCTAACAATCTAAACTACTAACTCACGCTAAATAAATAAATATATTTACTAACCTAATGAACTAACCTGCGACTAACAATTCTAACATATATACTAACTCACGGCACTCATTATTTACTAAACTAATAATTCTAACAACTAATTTACTAACCAAACTAACATACACGGCTAAATAATAATTAAACTATAAACTAATCCTAACAATAATGTAAGACTACTTAAACTAAATAGTCTTCTAGAAACTTTGCCCCTCGGCTCGCACGGCTCCTCTCGTGCCTTCGCGCATCACATCCACGTACGCCCCCGCGTGCCTCCTCGCGCGCTATTCCTCGCGTCACGAGACCTCTCGAACCTTCTCGTGCGCGTGTCTCATACCGGGTCTCACCCAGTTCTCGTCGTCGACCTGTAGGGTTTCCAGGTCTCAGCCATGTGCGTCTTGAACTCGTACAATAAGCCGAAGGCCATGCGTGTGTCCAAGGCTCACGTCGCCTTCCTCGTGAGCCTCGCATACAGGCTCGTACCCGTCTTTTAGGCCATGCATGCGTGGTTTTGGCCCTTTTCTCGGCCTTTTCGGATCGTTTTGGCCATCGGCTCTCGGTGTGCTCGGGCCTCGAAAGCCACTTCCGCATCATTCGTCCTTGTCCTCAAGGACTCGCCAATGACCATCACTTGGGGCGTCGGCATCTTTTCATCCGCATTGTCCTCCACATGCGTCTCGTCATCATGGCCTTCTTCGACCACGACCAAAATCTCCTCCTCGTCCAAAAACTTTTTTTGCCTCGTTGATCTCTGTTCGTATTTGAAGCAACAACTTTTTTATCCGTTTGTGGTAATCGTTCAAGGTGACCTTCACATTTTCGAATTCAGCCTTCACGGACCTCAATATTTCTGTCGGATTCCATTGCGATCGCCGTTGTTTCTCCTCTCTCCATTTTACCCTCTTCTCCCATGAACGCCAACTTGATTCGACCTCTTCCTTAGAAAACATACTCATTTTTTTTTCGGTTAAACCCCACAAACAATTTTTTTTCTCTGTTGGTCACGCACAGACCAACAAAACAAGAATTATTTTTTTTTTATTTTTTTTTTTTGCAGCTCACGTAAACCCAAAACAACAAACTTTTTTTTTTAATTTTTTCCTTATAACTCACGAAAGAAAGAAAAATTTACAAGAAAAGAAAAATTGAAAGAGGAAGAAAAAGATGAAAAAGATACACGATCAATCACTCTCAATGAAAGCACCAATGATGAAGATCGTGTATCCCGCTCAACTCGTATGTCTCGAACTAAGCTTTGCCAAGGCTTCTTTCTTGACGATAGGTGTGGACGACTCGGTTATTAGCCTAATCTTCTCACGATAATTGAGATAGCTCGGGTCTTAGCCTTACTAATCTCGGTTTGTATGATAAAACTCTCACGAATCTTAAACACACGGTTTTGCTCTTGCGAACGATTTTCTGTTAACTCTTCGACATGAAAACTAATAAGAGTACATGGGTATTTATAGGAGAAACTAGATCTAGTCCTATGACAACTATAATTCTAACTAGGAAATAATATCTAGTCCTAAGGCAACTAAATTTCTTGCATATATAAAATACCTAACAATCTAAACTACTAACTCACGCTAAATAAATAAATATATTTACTAACCTAATGAACTAACCTGCGACTAACAATTCTAACATATATACTAACTCACGACACTCATTATTTACTAAACTAATAATTCTAACAACTAATTTACTAACCAAACTAACATACATGGCTAAATAATAATTAAACTATAAACTAATCCTAACAATAATGTAAGACTAATTAAACTAAATAGTCTTCTACAAACTTTGCCCCTCGGCTCGCACGGCTCGTCTCGTGCCTTCGTGCATCACATCCATGTACGCCCCCGCGTGTCTCCTCGCGCGCTATTCCTCGCCTCACGAGACCTCTCGAACCTTCTCGTGCGCGTCTCACATACCGGGTCTCACCCAGTTCTCGTTGTCGACCTGCAAGGTTTCCA